CTAGCTGAGAGTCTGTTTTTAGGCAGACATGATCGGCTTCCAGGGAGATGCACAATTCTAGGCCGGCGATTGCTGCCTCATACTCGGCTTCATTGTTCGAGGCCTTAAAAGAAAACTTTAGTGCATACTCAAAGGATTTGCCTTCGGGAGAAGTTATCACTACTCCTGCCCCCGAACCGTTTTCGGTGGAAGATCCATCCGTAAACACGGTCCAGACTTTCTTTTCACTGTCTAGCGCTTTTTGGTATGAGCATTCGGCCAAGAAATCCGCTAGAGCTTGAGCCTTAATGGCAGCCCTCGGATGGTAGTTGATGCTGAATTCGGTGAGCTCAAAAGCCCACTTGGCTAGCCTACCAGATTTTTCAACCTTGCCGAGAACTTTTTCCAACGGCTGATCAGTTAAGACCACTATCTGATGGCAATCAAAATAGGGCCTCAGCTTCCGAGCAGCTACTACTACCGCGAAAGCAACTTTCTCGAGTAGAGGATAGCGAGTCTCGGCATTCGTCAGTGTATGACTGACGAAGTAGATCGGTTGCTGACTTTTACTTTCTTCCTTCAGCAATACTGCGCTGATGGTGGCTGGGCTAACGGCCACATATAGGTACAAAGTTTCTCCTTCAGCTGGGCTAGCCAGCGTTGGGAGTTGAGCCAGATGCTCCCGAAGCTGTTTAAAGGCGTCTTTTTGCTCTTCCTCCCAAACGAGCTCTTTTGTTTTTGGGAGTTTCAGGGCTTTGAAGAAAGGTAACCCCTTATCCGAAGCTCTGGAAATGAACCTCGAGAGGGCTGCCATTCTTCCGGTGAGCCGCTGAACATCCCGCTTCGTTTTCGGCTCAGGAAGGTCGAGCGCCGCTTTGACTTTGAAGGGATTGGCATCAATCCCCCTTTTGCTGACTATGAACCCAAGGAATTTCCCTGACTTCACGCCGAAGACACACTTCTTCGGATTCAGCTTCATTTGATGCTTTCTCAAGGTAGCGAAAGTCTCAGCCAGGTCCTTTACATGGTCTTCTGGTTTTTTGCTTTTGACGATCGAATCGTCAACATAGACTTCCATGTTTCGGCCCTTTTGATCGGCGAAAACTTGATCCACCAGCCTTTGATAGGTTGCCCCCGCATTTTTCAATCTGAAGGGCATCATTTTGTAATTGTACACCCCAGCGTTCGTGACGAATGTTGTCTTTGCTCGATCGTCGGGGTGCATAAAGATCTGATGATACCCCGAGAATGCGTCCATGAAACTAAGCAAGGCATGGCCACTTGTCGAATCGACTAGCTGATCGATCCTCGGCAAGGGATAGAAATCCTTTGGACAAGCCTTATTTAGGTCCGTGAAGTCAACGCACATCCTCCAGGTACCATTGGGCTTCTGAACCATCACCACATTTGCCAGCCATTCTGGATATATTGGCAAGGTTCGATGAATCCTGCCTCCAGCAATTTTTTGACCTCGGCTGCGATGTCTCGGTTCTTATTGGCGGAGTAATTCCGCTTCTTTTGCTTAACTGGTCGACACGTTGGGTCAACATTAAGCTTATGGGAGATGAGGTCTGAACTTATCCCGGGCATATCAGCTGCCGAGAAAGCAAACACATCTCTGTTGTCCCGAAGGAGCTGAATAAGTTCACAACGGGTGTTCGGATCAAGGTCCATCCCGATTGTTACACATTTCTCAACATCTCCTTCGGTCAACTCAACTGTTTCAGTCTATTGGTCCATGTCCATTGCTGATGGACTGAACTCTTCATAATCTGGCCTGCTGCCAATGTCAGCAGGTGTCCCAGTCTTTTTGTTCTTCGGCTGGCTCTCTGAGTCTTGCGGCTCAGCTGAAGAGCTAGCCTTTTCCCTTTCGGGCCCTTTACCTCTGGGTACAGATCCTTGGGCCGAAGCACTTAGGCCTTTCGGCTTTTTTGTGCTCGGCTCTCTTTCTTTTTCTTTCTCCTCCTCATCCTTGTCATCTGGGCGACTATTGGATGGTTTGAGGTAGTTTCACCTTCGGGCGTCCTTTTGGTTGCCCTGTATCCTTTCGGGGAAGCCGGCGTCTGAGACGTAAATCATCAGTTGATGATAAGTTGAGACGACCCCTTGGATCTCATGAATTATGGGTCTCCCCAAAATCACGTTGTACACTGAAGGAGCGTCGATGACCAAAAATTCAATCATGACGTTCCTGGCTGCCTCATCGCAACCGATGGTGACAGGAAGTGTCACCTTCCCATCTGGATAAGTTGAAGCCCCATTGAACCCGGATACCGGGTAGGGTACCGGCGTAAGGTGCTTGGGCTTCAGCTTGATTTGATTGTAGGCCTTTCGGAACAGAATGTTTGCTCCACTGCCACCGTCAACAAGGACCTTACTGACGTCGTGGTTGGCCACCGTGGCGATGATCACCAACGGATCCTCGTGAGGGAACATAATCCCCCGGCAGTCGGCGGCTGTGAACGTCATGTTCGGCACCGGCGACTGGGGAGATTGAATGTCAGCGTTGTTCACCTGGTGAGTCAAAGCTCTAAGGTGTCGCTTGTGCTCCCTCCGAGAGTATATTCCTCCCGAGATAACATTGATCGGAGGGAATTTCCCCTCCGACTTTTTACTGTTTTTCCGGGGGAAGTCGAGGTCTTGCCGAGAGTCCTTTGCTGACTTCTCGGATTCTTTTTTCTCGCGGTGATCCGCGATGTATTTTTTCAAGTATCCCTTCCGGACCATGTCCTCTATCTGGTCCTTCAGTTGGATACACTCCTCAGTGTTGTGTCCCGAAGACTCGTGGAACTCGCACCACTGATTTTTATTTTTTCGCTGATACCACTCTGGGAGTGGTCTTGGCTTTCGGTAACTCTGCTCCTCCTTCGTCACGCTGTAAATTTTGGCGCGTGGAAGAGAGAGCGGAGTGTAGGACTCGTATCTGCCTGTGTATGAGGCAGATCTTTCCTTCTTTGGGTCGCTGGCCAAAGATTGCTCCGAGGCCTTTGACTTTCCCTTTGCCTTATAGCCTTGGCCTTCAGACAAGGGTATTTGCCTTTGTTTCCCTCCCCCAAATTGAGGTTGGGTTTTCGCTTTGTTCCATTCTTCGGCTCGGATGAACTTCTCCGAGGCATTCAGAGCTTCCTCCAAGGTCTGCGGGGTATGCATGACCATGAAGTCTAGGAACTTTCCGGGCTGAAGGCCATTCTGCATTGCAAAAACGGCTAGCCCCTGGTCCAGCTGAGAGACGCTGGATGACTCGTTACTGAAACGGGTCAGATAGTCTCGGAGGCTTTCGGTTTCCCCCTGTTGTAGACTCATGAGCTCTGCAGTAGTCTTCTCTCGGCGGTTTGCCGTGGAAAACTTGCTCCTGAACTTGGAGGACAGATCATCCCACCCTGTTATGGAGCCTTGCCTTACTCCCTTGGAGATCCACGCTTGCGCGACCCCCTTGAGAGTGGTTGGGAAATATTTGCACCAAGTCGCTTCGGATCTGGGGCAAAGATGCATATGAGTCTCATACGAAGCCACGTGATCCTTCGGATCCGAGGTCCCGTCATATGTGATGTGCGACGGTATTTTAACCGTGGGTACGCGCTCTTCCAGTATCCATTGCTCGAATGGTGAACTGGCGGGTAGCATAACGGCCTTGCCCTTGTTCCTGGCCAAAGGGACCGCGCTCCGCCCTCTTAGAGAGGTAGGAGTGGTTTTCGTCCCTGGCTGGGAAGTCTGGGCCTCGGCTGCAGGGAACGAGAGGCGACTGCGCACGCTCGGTTCCTTGCCGCCGAGTCGGTCAAGGACGCTTCGGCGAACAGTCTCAGGTTCTCAGTGAGTAGATTCTGGCCGAGAAGCTGAGCTGCTGCTCTTATGCGCTTCTGGTCTTGAGGATGAGGATCCTTTTAAAAATTGAGGGTTCTTTTTCCTCTCTTTTTCGTTTTTCCAGGAATCCTCTTCCCACTCTTCCAGTTCCCGGAAGGAAGGAAGCTTCCCACCATCATGGTCTAACTTCCTCCGCTGATGCCGGGTATGCGGAGGAGTTCGATCACGAGGTGGTGGCATATTTTGTGCCCTCATCGCCTCCATGAGCACTGCCAGCGCTCTTGGCACCTCTTCTGAGCTGGGCCCCGTCAAAGGGGTCCTCGGCCGAGTATGGGAATGAGGGCGCGTAGCCGATGGTTGGCTTTGGGGCACTGAATGTGTCCTATGATCGGACTCACCCCTGCTAGACCGAGAGTGACTCGGCCTATAATGAGAGTCATGAATTACGGGAGAAAGGGAATCCTCCTTGTATGATCCTCCCCCCGAGCCGGCACCCTTGGGAGAGTTCCGGTCCGGCGAGGGTGATGGTGTAGGGGTTTTAGGCTTTTCGCCCGCTCCTTGACGGAGGCTTTTGCTCTTGCGGTTCTTAGCCATTGCTACTAAGATAGTTGCAAGATGATCTTGGTTAGAAATTTGGCCTAAAGATTTTTGAAAGTCCTCCCCACAGACGGCGCCAAATTGTTTCGGGTGAAAACAATGGGACCTTGTCGAAGGTCCGCTGAAACGGAGAAGACTGGATTCGGTCCAAGTTATGTTGGGCCGAAGGTTTCCTGCACAGTAAACACACGTAAACTAGCCTCGGGGGTGTTGCCGAGGAAGGCCCCTCCGATGCTAAAGTCAGTACAATGTGTAGAAAGAGAACACTATGCAAGAGAATTAGTTGCTTGAGGCTTTGCTTGAATATATGAGAATATACGAATCTATGAATGAATGAGAATGTATGAATATTGATGGCTTTTATACCTCTTCATACATGGAGAGGTTGAGCCTTAGCCCAATTGGCTTGCTTTGAGGGCTGACCTTTGACTTTAGCACAATTGGAGAGTTGAACCTTGACCTTGGGCTTTTAATTGGATCATTTAATGCCTAGGCCCAATTGGACTAAATTGGACCCAAACAGCTACTAAATTACTAATGTTTTTGCTGGAACTTAGAATTTTGAGATAGTGAGATTCAAATCTGTTGCAAATTCAGCTAAATAGTCTAAGATGACCTCTTTATAGTATAGTTAAGGAAGAGATTATGTTCTTTAAATTCTTCTCTTACTGTTAAACACAAATGCTAAGTAGTCAAGTTCTTTACCTTTTGTTTCATTTTGCTTCACAATATGTACAATTTATTCTCAGAGTGTGTAGGATAACTTTCTTATAGTTATTTCAATTGTCGAAGATATACAGAAGCTCGGGTATTCTATAATGCACTGTTATAGTCACAATGGCCGAAACCAACTCCCCAACCCCGATATCCCCCTCGACAATCCTCAAATTCTCAATCTCTTTTCCTTAAATGAAATCAGATTAATTCCTCAAATTTTCAAAGCTTTAGGGTGCAATTTTGCTCGGTTTTAGGGTTTGATTTCCCTTTGAGGGTTATTTTTGCTCGATTTTAGGGTTTCTTTTGTTCGATTGTTGAAGGGGCGTTTTTCGCCGGTAAGGAAGGGAACACCGGCGATGGGAGGAGAAAGAGGAGGGGGTCACTGGCGGTAGGAGGAGAATGTTCGGTCAGAGGAGAGAGAAGGTGGTCACCGACGGTGGTTTTGGCATTTGGAGTTTTGGGTTGGTGGTGGATTGGTGGTCTGGGTGGTATGAGCCGGTGTCTGAGTAGAGAAAAGGTTTGTGTTTTTTTTTTTTTTATAATTAATTATTAAAAAATACAAGATATTGACCATAGTTAGTGAATTTATATTAAAATACATATTCTCTTTGGTAATCCATAGTTAAGGTTTACCAAAGATATTAAGATTTTTTGCAATTCACCACTGAGAAATGTAAAAATTATAGTGTCACCAAAGAGAATTTTTGTAATTTGGGTTTGACTTTTTGTAGGGCCGTAAGGGAAGATAGAAAGGAGAAATTTTCCATTGAAGGGCCTTCTGGGTTTTCACTCTTCCATTGATAAAGCTTCTGAGGTTAACTTCTTTTTTTGAGACGCAGGTCAACTATCAAATTACATAAAATCAATTACAGAATACGAGTGTAATACCTTCTGGTTACTTCTATTTTTTGGGTTATATCTGCTTTATCACCAATTAAACAAGAAATTCTGTTCAAAAGGGGGCTCTTTGATGTAATGAAAGGATTCGTCTTTGAATTAAGTGGGTGATATCAAATTTCTTTAATCTATATCCTGTAACCTTATGATTTTTTTGCTTTGATTTTCAGCATTTTGATTCTTTTTTTATTGATCGGTTTGATATCTGAATTTTATCTTTGCTTGTTTATTTGATAGTATTGGATTATTGTTTTACTATAATCTATATCCTGCAAGTCTTTATCATATTTTAAGTATTCTTAAAGGACTCTATTATAATTTTACTCTGATTTTATGCATTTTGTTCCTATTTTAATGATTGGTTTGATTTCTGAATTTTATCTTTGCTTGTTTATTTGATCGAATTGGATCGCTATTTTACTTCAACCGATTGATTTATGCAACTACTATTGTGGTTTTCAATTCGGTATGTTAGAACCTAAATTGATGGGTTTCAATTATATTAGTGGTTATGGTTTTTGCCTATGAATAATTAGGCCCAAACATAAATTAAAGCTAAAAAAGAATGGTCCTAAATGGTGAGAATTTCTACTATATCATAGTATCTGATTTATATTGTAACTTTATGGTGTTGATTTATATGCATTTGACTGCAACCGAACTTATAATTACGAAGTCTACTGTTATTATTACAAGTAGACATCATATCTGATTAGTATTGTAAGTTTATGGTGTTGATTTTATGTAATTGGATTGCAATTTAAGTCAAAATGTGTTTTGATGTGATGTTATGGATTGATGCTTATTTGTGGCATAGGCGATATTGTATTCATATTTAATAATGCTATTTTGTTTTGTATTAATCAATGTTTATGCTGCTAATTCATATGTAAATTGGTTGCAATTTGAACCGTAATTGTGCCAGTATGATGTGCTGTATTGGCAAGTGGGTCACAAATTTCTATCATCTCTAAACAACCCGGATTGAATTCTTTAATGGAAGCAAGAGGGTTTTAATTCTTCTCCCTTTTCTATGATCTGGATTATTTTTTTTGGGTATAGGGCTTTAAAATTCTTTTTCTACACTTTTGCTTGGATAAATATCGATTAACTTTCCTGTTGAATTCTGTCACATCTTTAAAGAGTTGCTTATAACCTTAAAGATTGAAATTAAAATGCAATGTGAACCTCAGGAATAAGTAAAGTCTTTGCATCGAGACTTCCATGAGTGGCATTCTTTTATATTGTTAAGAGATATACTTTATACGCTGGTTCCTTGGTAATCAATAATGGTTTTGGGTCAGTAATAACTTGGAATGAATATTTATTATAGTTGCCCAAATAACTTAGTATTCAATCTGATTTACTCACTGCTTCTGTTGTTGACGCTTGATCTTTATCTTTGTCTAGGTTGATGCAATATTAGACAAGGACAACTTCACTTTGGAAGAGCTATTGGATGAAGAAGAAATAATCCAAGAATGCAAAGCTTTGAACAGCCGCTTGATTAACTTGTAAGTGATTCATTTCAAAGTGATGTTTGTCATTTCCTTTATTGTTTCCATCTACCTTTGTCATAATTGTTCAAATTTGTTCCCTGGTCAAGTTGCAGATATCCTATGTGTTTCTGTTTTTAAAAATCTTTTTGATTTGTAAAATTCCTCCAGCTTATGGGACAGAGCTGAGGTGGAGTAGCTTTTGTGCTATGTTGTAGAAGAACCTCCAGAGGATGCTGACAGCAAACGCACCTTCAAGTAAAACCCTTTTGACATCTTAACTGCAGTTTTTATATGCATTGATTGATAGCTATTTTATGAGGCACTATGTAGTTTAATTTATTGTGTGAATTTGACTACTTAATGACTTAATGTTCGAATTTAGCTGTTTCTCCTGTGATGCTTTGATCCTTTGAATTAATAGGTGAATAAATAATTCTATAGTCACTAACTTTGGAGGAGTAAAGGAAGTTATTGGTTTCTAAACTCATATTTCCTTTTCAAACGTTAATCTTGTTTGTTTGAACTAGTTGTTACTGTAGCTAATTTAGTGTTGTTGCCTTTAACTTCAATTGAAGCTCCTTCGATTTCTCCTTTTCTTGCCTTTTGACTTTTAAAGTTGTTCGATCAACTTTCTTGAGCTTCTGAAATTATATTATTGCCAGAAATGCAGCCCTGAATTGCAAGTGAAACTCTGTCCGTTTGATGGTAGTTTATTTGATGTCTAATTGTCTACCATTGTTGAGAGGAAGTGCTTTGAGGGTATGACCAACAGATTTTGGATGAATGTTGTGCAATGCTTGCTTGAAAAGTTTTAAAAGGCTAATTTGGGTAGCTGAGGTATAAGCTGATACTTGATAGTTATTTTAATGGAAGCTCTTTGGTTATTCTTTGAGCCTTTGACAATAGTTGTTTTTTGATGAATGATGTGCAATGCCAACTCTCATTGCATGGTTTGATCCTTAAAAATTCTATATTGTTGGTAATTTTGTAGGTTTAGATTTTTTTTGGTGGGAGCTCTATTGTTAGCGCTTATTGATCGTTACTCAGTGGCTCATGCTGGCCCTTGAAAGTCGAGGTCAGAAATTTCTATTTTTATCGTATATTCTTATATATTATTAATATTAGTAATCGTGTGTTTATCACTTTCCAATTTCTTTGTAATTGTATGATTTGAATTTTGGACTTTGTAATTCTAAAGATTATACTGGCAAATACTTGTTGGTTTGCTGTATATGTATCATGTATATGCTACTATGCTCTCAGGGCCTTTCGCCTTATGCAGAAGATACTAAGCTATGATTCTGGTGTCTGTGTAGGTGCATGCGGTGGGATTAAATCATGGGTAAGTGTAATTATTTCTACGGGGCTTTCATGTAGCAATGGGATGCGGCTCAGGGATATTGCTATAGCTACTTCAAAAGGTGAATGCTGATGCAAAGAATGGGTATAAGATAATTCTCCATGACTAGAAAAGAAAGAGCGTGAATCATATCATACAATTATATACCCTATTTGCTTAACCAAATTATTTGCTAGGTTTTAACCACTGAATTTGATAGGTTTGTAGTTTGTTATGAGAATGATCATACACCTTAATTTTGCTCTGCTTTGTAGAATTTCAGGGCAAAAGAGGAGATTGAGAAGAAGAAGATGGAGCTTTGTGAGTGAGTTCAAGCTCAACTCGGTCGAGTCAAGGAGGAGACTATAAATCATAATAGATACTGTAAGGTGAAGTAAAACTCTTCCATGGATTGAAGTATTAGACATATGTACTACTGTAGTCGTTGTAGATTGTTTAGTTTGTTTGGTTATGTGCCTTTGTAAATCAGAGAATTGAATTAAGCCTTGAGGTGACAACTAAATCTCTGCATGATAAGGTGATATTTGCATTGAGCACTTCCTTTCACATGCATAGTCTAGGATGTTTAAGAGGCCCATCATACATGGTTTTAAAATATACACTTTTCGATTTTATGATTTTTATTGATGGCTCCTACATGTTTTTCTCTTACCCATTTGTAGTCTAAAGAGTTGACTGGATTGTGCCTGTTGGTTGAGGAAAATACTGCCTATGTTCAAATTAATTAACCTTTTCTTGGGCTAACAAGGGACATAGCCTGCCTACATTTGGCCTAAGTATGACAAATCATGATAATTTCAAATAATTTGTTGCTGTAGTTTATGGGTAGCTATAGTAATCAAATTTGATCATGCTTCTTAATTTCAAACAATGTGTTGCTGTAGTTTATGTGTTGATGAGATTGCTTTTGTTCCATTAATGAACATCACTGAAGCTGGCATCTCAAGCATGGAGAGCTTTCAAAATCCACAAAATGCTGATGAGAATCCAGATGGTCACAATGGGTATGGGTTCATGGTCTCAGAGTTGCTTGGTAATGATGTCCCGAATTACTCTTTAGTTCAGCCTGATATAAATTTTATGCACAATGGCATGGGCCTTAATCATGGCGAGGTACAATCCTTGATTTTTTAAAATATTGTTTGATCTCATAATGTTATTTTATTCCGTAACTGTTACCTTTATATTTGGGGATGTCCCTTTTAATATGGGTGTTGGAGACTTGATGGTCATTGAGGAACAAAACAAAATAGGAGATTTATTGATTGTTGGGCTTCTAAGAAAGAGCTTATTAAAAAGATGGAGGTTACGGAAATGCGCATGTTAAGGTGGATGTGTGGAAACACTTAAAGAGATAGAATCATAAATGAGGTTATTCCCAGGGAGACCAAAAATGACTTGGTTGGAAGGAGTTAGGAAGGATATGAAGTGCATGGATTTACATGAGGATGAAGCTTTGGATCGTAAGGGATGGAGGAGAAAGATCTATGTTAATGACTACACGGAATAATCAAATTTGGTTCATGTTAGCCGACCCCACTTTTGGGATTAAGGCTTTGATTGATTGATTGATTGATTGATGACTATAATTTATTTCTACTTTGTTCTTAGATTTAATATTGTATGAAGCTATTTAGACACTTATATTTTAAGTTTGATGCAGTAAGTTGGATCTTTATAGTGGTTTACTCTATAACTTATTTCCTACCAGTTACTATACTTGTTGAAAATAAAATAAATATTAAGGAAATAACAGACATATTATGTGTAAGGGAAACCATGTATTTTGACAATGGTCTAGGAAAGCAAATGCTCTTAAATTTGTTCTAGATAGAATAATTACGTATAAAAACATAGAATATATCAAAAAGTGATAGGGGTATACACATGAAAAGTGAATAAAGTATAATGTCTAGAATTTGTCGTGTGTAATACACTACATTCAACAAACTTAGGTTTTTGTATCTTTGTGGAAGCTGAAAGTGAACTATAAACTTCATATGAAACTACAGTAGACAGTTGGAGGAGGATAAATGATGTAGGAGAAGCTGGACATTGTGTATTAAAGATGAAAAAATTATTTGCTTTTTCTATTCATCTCATAGATTGGAAGGTATCCCTCCCATCCCCCCCCCCCCCCCAAAAAAAAATAAAATAAAATAAAATTAAGAGAGAGAGAGAGAAATGTATTTGGTCCGTACCAATAGAAGCATGATAAGAGGTGGAGCTTAGCCTCAGTACCAATAGAAGAATGACATATTTGGTTTGTTTGTTTGGTTTCTGTGATTTTGAGTTTTCTAGAGAATTATTACCAGGTTTAGTCATGTATCTTATTGTTTTTTTTAGATCATTGAGTCATATAGTATCCAAAACTGTGTCCAAAATCTTCATTGGGTCGTCCTTAATCGTGGCTAGAACATGATTTTGGTGTATTTTAGCCAAGGATTGGTGTGCTTCATTGTTATTGATATTGCTCTTGAAGTTCATGATGTTTGTAGTTAATTGTCTAATTCGATGACTGCTGATTGCTGATTGTGATTTTATTTCGCGGTCGACCAGGCTCTCTTTTCCCTTTCAACGATTACGTCAAAGTGAAGAACGCTTCGTTGTAAGGTTGATTGTGTAATTTTGGGGCTGAATTTTGAGTTATTTATTGCTGAATTTTTATTTATTGTGATTTAATTAACTACAAGGTTTGGTGAAGAATTGGGAGAATTTAGGCGACTTTGCAAATTCTGATTCTGAGCAAATGGCTGGGCAGGTTTGGTTATTTAACTGTATACTGTTTGCTTGTTTGATTGAAGAAGCCTATCACCCTTTAGGCGACTCTGCAAACTATTTGGCTATTTGCCGAATCATTGGAGAAGCAGAAAGGTTCAGAATTGAATTATGGTTATGGGGTTTGTAGATTTTGCAGGTTTTTGATGAATTTTGTTTAATTGCAGAAGTGATGAGATTACGAGATAAGAGCTTCAATGACACTCAATTCAAATGCCCTTTTGGTGCTTCTCGAGGAGAACCATGAGTGCTCTTTCGATAACTCTCAGAACAATGTCAATTCAAACAACCTTTTCGTACTATCAGGTTTATTAAAGTTGGTATTTAATTTTTCATCTTTGCCTTTTTTTATTTATTTCTTTTTTATTATTTGTGTTAGACTATTAGTTATACATGTTTTTATCTAATTGATGCTTGTCTATGGTGCTTGCGGTGGGATAAAAACATGGGCTAATGTAATTTTTTCTACAGGGCTTTCACATATCTTATTTTCCGTTGGTCTAGGCTTCTAGCTGTTACCTTGTTCTTGGTGAAATTGGCTAAGCATCACTACATTTCGAGAGACGGTTGCAGTCAACTGACATTTGTATGGAGCGGAAAATTATTCTAGAAGCTTCTGATGGTCTACAAAAGGCTCAGGTACCCTCATCTTCTCTGTTTACAATGGCAGTGAGAGGCTATCAACAAGTTGATCGAAGAAGCCATACTTGAGGCAGAGGAAAAAGGGATCAATGTAGTGAGCTTAGGACTTTTGAATCAGGCAAGTTTACTTATGATTCTTTTATCTTCTGTTATATAAAACCAATGCGTATATAGCTAAGTACTTATCTTATGATCACTGTTATCTCAGGGGGAGCGTTTCACTAGAAATGGCGAAATCTACTTGGAAAGGCTCCCTAAGCTCAAAGTGAAAGTGTAGATGGTAGTAGCTTAGCTGTAGCAGCTTTGTAGTATCCCAGTGGGAACTTCTCAAGTTCTGTTTAGGGGTCGGCTTTCAAAGGTTTATTATTCAATTGTCTCCGCGCTTTGTCACAAGGGTATCCAGGTAATTACCACACTGATCTTACATGATAAATTTAGTGAAATTGTAACATATTACTGTATAACCTATGCTTTTCATTTCATACTCAGGTTACTACCATAAAAAAGGCTGAATATGAAAAACTTAAAAAATCCCTGACAACTGAAGCTGCAATAATCTGACCCTTTCAGCAAAAGGCTACAATCAGAAGGTAGTTACTTTTAGCTTATTCAGGAGCATATTAGATTGATTTAATTTTTTTCTTTATATTTTTCGTGATATAGCAAATACAACTTCTTAAGCAATTAGCTAGCCAATTGACATGGTTTAAAGCTCTTGTGTAATGGGCTAAAGGGGTTGAATTCTGTTTTACTTATTAAGGGACGAAGGGGGTGATATTTTGTTGAAAGCAAGTATGGTTAGTAGGAGAAGATTTGGCAGAAATCGAGCAGTCTAAGGCGTCGAAGGGAACTAGAGGGAAAATTTTTGAATAATATTTGCTTGGTTGTTGTCTACTGACTATATGTACAAAGGTGATATGCTGAATAGGTTTCGATACAATATAAGACGCTATATGATGAGGTTTTGGTTATGGGCTTTCTGATATGTTGTGTATGCGAAAGAATCAAAACGATATTCGACTCTAAATGTCGAGGTTTTTGTTAAGGGTTTTCTGGTTTGTAGTGGATTTGTCTGCATTCTTAACATTTTGTTTTTTGGTGAACCATGGTTAAATAGAAGGTAAAGGGTGGGGGTGGGGAGGGTTGTTTTACAATAAATAGGAAATGAGAAATGTCTTCTTTTTGCTTCAATTGGGTGGTTTTTGTTTGAATTAGAGGCTGTTAATGTAGTGAGTACCCCTGTTTTTGGTGTTTCCAAGTTCTGAAATATGCCCCACATTGTATCTTATTTACAGGCTTGTTGAGTTTGTGCTTTGATCACGAAGAGGTGAGAAAATCATGTCTCACTGCTCTGAAGAGGAGGATACTGACATTAGTGAATCTAAAATTGAAGAGTATGGAGACAAAACTTTTGAAGATCTTAAGTAAGGAAGTTCCAAGCTCAAAGTCTCAGAAGAAAAGTATACTTGGCCATATTGCCTGGGGAAAAGGAAGCGGGATTTTCTGTACAAAGAATTACTTCAGCATGCTTCGGGAATTGGAAATGCTAGCTCAAAAAAAAAAAGGAGCCAAGGGAGAAGGCAATCATCTTGGGCTAGCTTGATTTTTGGAAGATGAAGTGCGAAATCAAGCTAGCTCGTTGAAACAGGCTAATGGTGATGCTCATGTGGTTGATTGTGACCATGATGACAAGTTTGTATGGCCTTGGACAGGAGTAGTGGTTAACATTCCTACTTGGTACAGAGAGGGCCGGTTTGTGGGGGAAAGTGGTTCAAAGCTGAGGGATGAGTTGAGAGCTAGAGGGTTCAATCCCAAGAGAGTCCATCCCTTGTGGAACTTTAGAGGCCATTCCGGTACTGCTGTAGTGGAATTCAACAAAGATTGGCTTGGTTTGAACAATGCATTGGTATTTGAGAAAGAATATGAACTAAATCAGCATGGAAAACAGCATTGGCAACCAAAGGATACTGAAAAGTTTGGGCTGTATGCCTGGGTTGCTCGTGCTGATGATTATGATTCACCTGGGATTATTGGGGAGCATTTGCAGAATATTGGAGATGTGAAAACAGTGTCCGATCTTGAAGCAGAAATAGCTCGGAAGGCTGGCAAGCTTGTCTCAAACCTGACAACCGTGCTTGATCAGGCATATAATAATCCCTGCTTGGCTTAAGAAGAAGAGTTTTAAGGAAATAGAGACAAAATTTACTGAGACTTCCCATAACTTCAACAAGCTGGCATAAGAGAAAGACAAGCTTCATCAGGCATATAATAATCCCTTTCTCTCAATTACCTCCCAAGAAAACAAGGAAATACTGCTTCTATCTCAACACACCATCATTAGTTGCTCCTAAATCATTTGGAAATTTGCATTCTTGTGAGGTTTGTACACTGTTCACATTTCCTCCAATTACATTTGACATACCAATTGAAGTCCTTTTACTCAAAATTAGTCCATGTTTTTACTTGTGTAAGCAGAAGTGGCTGCCAAGAAGGGTGATTAGCGCGTGGCCGGGATAATCTAATTATAACTTTGCAAAGTACAAGTGTAATCTAATTATAACTTTGCAAAGTTCAAGTGTAATCTAACTTTGCAAAGTTCAAGTGTAATCCAATTATAACTTTGCAAAGTACAAGTGTGATACATAGTGAAAATATTTTTTTTTTATTTTTTTTTAAGGAAGAAAATACTTTTTCTTAAAGAATTATTGTATTTTTTTATGAAAGGATGGTCTATTACCCAAAAGTTGTTACGGAGTACTTTATTTTTCCCCCTTATATGAGAGGATGACCTATAAGTTTTGAATAAGGAAGAACCTATTAACCATCAATGCAAATTTATTTATAGGTGACACAATTGTGTATGATATTTAGGGGTAAGAAAATTATAACTCCCTTTGTTTTGTATTAATCGTAGCATAACACTAGGTGTTACATAATATTAAAGAACAATTGTAAGGGGACCAAAAAGCGAATTTTATAATATAAAGTATAGTTAGTGGGCTATATTTATTTGTTTGTAGGAGATAGAAATAATAAAAAATAAATTGTGTATAACACATACACAGTTTATATTGTTAGTCAAAAGATATTGTAGCTCATGTTGCTGTTCTGCATGACTAAAAGTGATTATTTGGTTAACCGAATTGCTTGTTGCAGGTTTTAGAGAAGATCGTGAATGGGGTATAAAGATTTGGGTTCCAAAGTAAAGGGTGGATTGAGTCTCCTTTAAATGGGGATGACGCTACCATATAGACGTGTGTTTATCATATATAAAGGCAACACACCACATATATTAGCCATTCGATCTCCTAGGCTTTCATGAAAGTATTAGGTACCACTGGAGGAGAAAAAATTTTCTGATGAAAAAACACAAAGTTTAGAGAATGCTTTAATGGTGCCGGCTATTATCAGTTTACTAGGGTAATTAGCTTGTTAGGACTTGTGTGGTTCACCTTATTTGTGCTAATCTGATCTAGTGTGATATGATCTGGTCTACTCTGGTCTGATCTGTGTGTCAAATTTGACCAAACTTTGACCTTAAATATAGGATAATTTATGCGGAAAAAATATATCAAGTGGGTTCTTGTTAGATTCGTAATAATGTGTATTTTATTAATATTTAATTTTCATAATTTTTTTTCATTACGAAATTAAAGATATTTAGCGATAAAAAAACTGCACATAAAATGATGATCTGAATTGAACTTATTTTTTCTGATCTGATCTGATCTGAACTAATTTTTTCTGAAATAAGTAAAAGTAAAAATAAGGCGAACTAAGGTCTTAACAAGGGTGATGTAGCCCTTTGTTATTCAGTTTTGTAATAATACCCATTTATGTGGTAATATGTTCTATCACTACCTATTTAGGGCTTGTTCTTATATACTGAGATGAACTGAACTGAAATGATTGGAGTTGAACTGAACTGAACTGAACTGATTGGAGCTGAACTGAACTAAATAAAGCTGAAATGAATATTTTATGAGAGAAGGAAATTAGGAGTTGAACTGAACTGATTGGAGCTAACTGAACTAAAATAAACTGATTGGAGATGAACTGATTGGAGCAAAATTGAATTGAACTGAACTGAAATTAAGCTGAAGTGAACAGGCCCTTAGACCAGCGTTCTCTAGAAAAATTTACATGAAAAAAATTCAAGTCAATAAATTTGCCTTATATTTTTTTTTACGAGAATAAATTTACCTAATTTTAGATAGTTATGTTTTCATTAATGCAATCAATTGGTAAGAAGGATAATGCTTTGCGATGAGTTTAACTTTTTAGCACTAGTAATAAGGTTTTTGCAATTAGTTTAGTTTTTAGAGTTTTTAACAATCGTTATTAATGGATACTTTAAAGTGTAATTTGATTTTCATCTTGTAAAGTCTAATTATATTATAAAGTGTAAGTGTAACTCACTGTGAAAATGTTTTTCCTTGAGAAATGGTTATGGTTTTTTGATGAAAGGGTAGCCTATCATTCAAAGTCATTTAAGGTAGCCTATAATTTGTATTTGATTTTTTAAGGGGGAGAGTGAATTATTTAGGAATGAGCAATTTATTTAGGGGTGAGGTAACTGTATATATAAGGGATGAGTTAATTTGCATATGGTTTTTAAGGGTAAACAATTTGCATATACTTTTTCTTATGCGTTTTGTTGTTTTTTTTTTTTTTTTTTTTTTTATTTGCATCAATTTCCTTTTTAAGGTACTTTTTTTTATTTGCATCACTTTCCTTTTTAAGGTACTTTCCTTTTTTTTTAAACGCCTAGAAAGGCAGAAACTAACCTCACCTGATTCAGACCTTACCTGAAAGCTCGAACCCGAATTAAAAAGAGTTCAAACCTCCCTCACCCAATTCAGACTGGGCAATGTCAAAAATTTCGTCGCGCGGTGTCGAAGAAAGGCGAGTTCAAGACGGGGGGAGGAGATGGGGTGGGAGAAAGTAGACCTGGCAATCCTGACCCAGACCCGTTGACCCAACCCGAATGACCCGACCCATGACCTGAAATTGACCCAAAAACATTGCCCCGAAAATGACACGACCCATACCTGACTCGAAAATGATGTTGACCCGATCTTGACCCGACACCCGAACTGTCCCGACCCAAAGTTGA